ATTTTCAAGAAATCCAAGACTTGCTGAAATAGGACCATTTAGCTCATTTTCGAGCATCTTTATTTCTTGAAGCTCACTTGAATTACCAATTTCATTGGGGAGAAACCCATGAAAATTATTATTGCAAATAATTAAGGATCTTAGAAAAGAGAGTTCACCGATTTCTTTAGTAATAGAACCTCCTAGACCCATATCTTCTAGATTTAAGCCCCTAACTCTTTGATGTCTCGTGCCACAGGTAATGCCAATCCAATTGCAGAACGAGGTTCCTTGTGACCAAGATTTTATTTGGATCAGATGTTATTTGAGATCTAAAGTCTAGAGGACCATATTCATCAGTGGAGTTATTTAGAGTTGCAACAATGTTGATAAGTAAAGCATTGCCGACAACGTAAAAATCACATTCTTGCCCATGGCTAATTTGAAATGCATAAAGAAAATTGGGAGGATGCTTGTATTGAGGAGTTTGATACAAGTGGGGTATATATATAGTTTTATAGTCTAGCTAAGTTTGCTTTATTTATGGAAAAGTGGAGTCCATAATGGTGTAATAAGCACCACTTCCTCGAGATAAAACCCCAACCAACACAAAACCGTAATGCTTATTACACCATTATGGACTCCACTTTTCCATAAATAAAGCAAATTTTGCTAGACTATAAAATTGGAGAAATTATTCCATTGGATGCAGAGATTTTTCTTTTATCTTTTATTGTGGAAATTGTGGAAGTTTTTCCAAAAATGAAAGTTGCATTCTTCTATTGATCCAAAGGAAATAATTAAATATTAGAGATTTCATTGTCGGTCAATACCTCTCATTTTCTAGTAAAATGTGGAGATTTTCTTCAGAAATGAAAGTCGTTTTGAGGTTTGCAAATCTTTAAATGTAAATCCTAAATGGTTTGATCTTATGCATTATAGCTTGAATTTCCGTTTACAGAAGAAGTTTATTTTTCTGGATAGTCGAAAGAAAGGTTTTTGAGCAAAGCATATGAGATCTAGTGCCGGATGTTTTATCTGTTGTTATTATTCTAGCCAAACTTGTTAATTTTCTCTATATTTTATGTCATTTACTGCGGTGTCAGTCATATTATTTTTCTTTTTCGTTCTCTTAGTATAAAATAAAATCTCCCTGATCATCCATTTCTCTAACAGAGGACCTTAGTTCCATTTGGTTCCAGTTCTATAAAAATAGGGTAGCGCTACTTCCATCCACGCTTTTTATAAGTACATCCACTTTTAAAAATAAAATTTTACTATATTTGAAATTATATATAAATTTACTTAAATAGACATGAAGGCTAATTATATATACATCCACATTGGCGACTGCAAGCACTGAAAGGAGGGGAAGCCAATACATATACATACACACGCAACCAAATTGATCTACACAAACAAAAATTTGAGACTTCTCCATTATCATTTAGCATCAAAAATCTTTATCGATGGTGCGTACAAAGCAGACAGCCAGGAAATCAACCGGCAGCAAGGCACCCAGGAAGCAACTAGCAACAAAGGGGCACAGAAGTCGGCCCCTACAACTGGAGGACTGAAAAAGCCTCACCAATTCCTCCCGGTTACGGTGGCACTAAGGGAAATCAGGAAGTACCAGAAAAGCACTGAGCTATTGATAAGGAAATTGCCATTTTAGAGGCTTGTTAGGGAGATTGTAGGTTCCAAAGCTCTGCCATGGCGGCTCTACAAAAGGCTGCCGAAGCTTACTTGGTTGGACTTTTTGAGGATAACAATCTCTGTGCTAATCGCGCCAAGAGAGTTACTATTATGCCTAAGGATATCCAATTGGCTAGGAAGATTAGGGGTGAAAGGGCTTAAACGTATTAGGGAATATAATGTCAGATCATGCTCTAGTATTGACAAAAATTACTTCATAAGAAGATTTGCGACGGGTTTGCCATCTTTTAAGAAGAAGAATGACAATAAATGGTCTGTGTAGAAAGAGGGTCTTCATGGTCGCCAAATTACTGATACCTTGTCTTCAGCTCCGTTTCTTCCCAGTGGCTTCTCTCTGCTTCGGGCACTCACGGATCATTGTCTCGTGCCGGTAAGGTCAGAGGGCAGACTTCGAAGGTGACAAAGCAGGATAAGAAGAAGCCCCGCGGCCGTGCCTACAAGTGATGCAATACAACCATTGTTTCGTCACTGCTGCTGTTGGCTTTGGCAAGAAGTCACGAAATTCATCTGCAAAGTAAATTGGATGGCATCAGTAGTTTTCTTAGAAATGTGGATTAGTTGTTTTTCTCATATCATTATAGTGTTGTTAATTAGTACTACGCTAAGCTGCCGTCTGGATTTTGATTGTCGAACAGTTTTACCTTACCATCATTTGAGTTATTTAATTTTGGAATCTGATGCTCATTATATGCATTTCTATTTGAATTAAAAAAAAAAAAAATTACTGATGCCTTGAGAATTGAGGGATAAGTACAAGAATAAACCTTATCGTTTAAATGAATGGATTTAATAAGGGCAAGTTTAGAAATGACGTGGATGTAAATAGTATTTTTTTAAAATTTTAAAATTTTATTAGGGTGAACTTAGAGCGGGATGTACAGTGGCGAATCTAGGACTTTGACTCAGCTAGGGCGACCGTTGATCATTGGCCGTTGTCTGTCGATAATTAACGACCGTATACCGATATCTTTTATTAATATTAAATTAAATAATATTAAAAATTCTTCGATCTATATGTAAATATACTAAAACGTAAAAATCGTATATTTATATCATATTATATTTCCATACAATTCGAAATAATATAAATTACATGATACATAAGACTTCTTTGTGTTATCAATACTTGACAAATCGTTTGCTTGGCTAAAAGTGGTTGAGAGATTAGATACATCACTACGAAAACAAGATTAAAATTCAGTTGAAAAAATCATTCCATAATTAGTATGAGAATTGAACGTTAATCAAAAATTAAACGTAATTAAAAGTAATTTTAAAATATAATTAAAGTTTCAATTTTCAATTCTCAACACCAATTCATCACAAATTATAAATTCCCCAATTTCTCATTTTTAATTTTCATGAATCAAATATTCACATTTCACGATACTCAAATTAATTTTTTATATCACAATTCACAATAGACAAATTCTCAAATAACATATAAATTAAAATTCAATACTCATAAGTCATATCTTATAAATTATTAAAGTATAAAATATTTAAAAACAAAAAAAAAAAAAACCTTTTGTAAAGTCTTAACATATATTATTTTGTTAAATTTAGATTCAAAATTCCACCATTACCATACTGGTTAAGCTTCCAATCATCCTAATTCTAGAAGTTATAGGTTCGAATCCTTTCCTTAGGAAATTAATTTTGGTAAATATTGTAAAAATAAAAAACTTTACACAATGAAATGGAGGGGAAGGAATCGAACCCAAGACTCACAATATATAAAAGAAAGTTCTAACCAACTAAGTAGAAGAAATGTTTGAAAATAAAATAAACTACCAATTATATAACCTAAAATTTTTATCTATTACCAACAAAAAAAATTCTCTCCGACGAATCCAGCTAGGGCGGGAAATTAATTTTGGTAAATATTGTAAAAATAAAAATTTTACACAATGAAATGGAGGGGAAGGAATCGAACCCAAGACTCACAATATATAAAAGAAAGTTCTAACCAACTAAGTAGAAGAAAGGTTTGAAAATAAAATAAACTACCAATTATATAACCTAAAATTTTTATTTATTACCAACAAAAAAAAATTCTCTCCGACGAATCCAGCTAGGGCGGCCGCCCTAGCTGGCCGCATACTAGATCCGCCCCTGGGGATGTACTTATAAAAAGCGTGGATGGAAATAGCGGTACCAGAAAAATATAGAGAAAATTTTTAAAAAGAAAAAACAGTAAAACTACCAAAATATTTTCTTACACCACTACATCTTATAACTGTAGATTAACCAGAAATTTTGTCTAATTGTGGATTTTAGGTCCACAAAACTGCTAAAAGTTTTTTGCAATAGCAACATATAACAATCTTTAAGATCCATTAAGAAATAGAAAATAGTTTTCTATTAAATAATCATTTTCTTGTGTTCTCAATAAGAACCCAACCTTTTTGTGTTGTTCCATCTCGGCTATGCTTCAACAAAATTGCGTTTTGATCTTCTTGAGCCTTGTTAGAATATCTTTAGCAATGGGCCTCTCCTCAGCAAAATCGGACGTGCATTCTAGTGCTAGTTCCATAATTAATCTGACCTCGAATATTGTCTTCAACAGCATTCATCAAATCGACATCCGCTATCCGCGTTATTGCATCTGGGAATGATTCAAGCACTCATTTCCTCATTGTGAACTCTCCAACAAACATATCATCTGTTGGCTTTTTCTTGGTAAAAGTTTCCACACTACACCAAAAATGGCCTTTTGCAACGGTCAAAAATGTTGTCTATTACCTTTTGCAGCGTTCGGCTGTATGTTGCGGGATGCGACGTTGCTGTAGAGTCTTGAGATACGACAACGTTCATTGACCGTTGCAAAGGACACTAAAGAACATTGCCTTTTGTTTTTGCAACGTTCCCCGAGTGTTGCGAAAAGCAATTTAGCAACGTTCAACGAATGTTGTTAAAAGTTTTTTCGCAACACTCCGCGAACTTTGCAAAAAACAGAAGGCAACATTCAGTGACCATTGCAAAAAACTTTTAGCAACATTCGTTGAACGTTGCTAAATTGCTTTTCGCAACACTCAGCGAACGTTGCAAAAAACAAAAGGCAACGTTGACTGACCGTTGCGGTAATTGTTTTGGCAACGTCCTGTGACTGCTGCAAATATTTTATCTTCATTTTTGGTAACATTCTTCGACCATTGCCGTAAGTTAATTTACCTTTTTTTTCAATTTTGTATTTTTTTAATTCTGCATAACAAATTTCAAATAAACCAACAAAATTAAAAATATTTTTGGGCCTGAAATTTGATAATAATTTCATTACTCTAAAAATAAACAAAAAACCCGCATGATTGCCATAAAGAAAACTTTTGCAATTCATCTCACGACTCATAATTACAAAATATGGATCTGATATGAGTTGCAAAAAACTTAAATCCTAATTACAAAATAAGATCATGAATCTCTAGCTTAGCCATGTGACAATTGATTAGTCGAGTTTGGAAACTTTACAAAGGACTTTCACCAAATTTTACAAAAAAGAAAGCCCGAGCTAGTATTCACCAACCACCTTCATCCCTGAAACAATTCACCAACATATATTCCATTAGATTCTGTAAGCTATATCAAATTTAATCATTTTGAAGGAAAATAATCAAATTTCATAGACATTAACACAGAAAATGTAAAATCATCTTACATGCTAAAATTCCAGGACTTTCGCCAAATTTTTTTTGTTTGACGAGGATTGAGTCTTGAGATGAATTATTCCACATACAAAAGCAACCAACTGCACCATATGCTAAAATATATAAGAGAAAGTTGGAAATTCATGTTCATTATACTCAAGGGCTAATGCATAATGAATCAAATGAGGGACTCAAAAAAATAACACTAACGAAATGTTCATTGACAATATCCCATAAGGCTAAGCTAACTTCAAACATTTCTCATCATCTGAGCTATGCAACTTGGAAATTACTACAGCAGGCTTAGCTCGTTTAGCTTCCTTTCATCTTACAGTGTAAAGTGATATAGTTCGCTAATACAATCATACGACTTTGACCATTCTCATACAAACATGCTATTATGGCCCTCCAACCTCCATTGAAAACAAAATTCGAAATGAAAGAAACCTAAAGATGATTATTGATGTACTACTTACAAGGATGCCCTATTTTTTACAGGAAAAAATTATAAATCTGTTTTAAAAGTTAACCAACCTATTTATTCAATTACTATTATGTACAAACACCAAGACAAACTGTATGAGGAGAACAAGTTAAATCGGATTGAGATTAAATTATTAAAATTTCCCACGGTATCCTGATGATTTGACCAGATACTGCTGGGGACCAGAAAGCATAAGCAGTGTTAACACATAACCGTGAAAGTTATGATACTATAACCGCACTAATAAACCTCCGGGTCCAAGTTTCAAGTACATCAGCATTAACATTAGAGTTATAGACTACTAATTAGCAACTATATATCACTAAATGCATTACATACCTTGTCAAATAAGTCTAATATTGCTCTTTGGCCAAGCAATTGTACTTCCTATGGCTTCACTAAGCTATCGAAATTTATCGGTAGGTCTATATAAGTTCAAATGGCCCATATACACTTCCTCAACCCAAACCTTCTAACAATCTCGTCCGACTGGTATGTGATGGACCGTTGCACTTGCGTCTGTCGATGCAATCCTTCCTTCTGCTACAATTTCTTCTTCTTCAAATACGTACCAATGCAACAGTTGACACCGTGCATTTTCCGTATGTGCAATCCCTCCATGGATACCACTTCCTTCTTGTGACTACAAAATCAAAGTAAAGTAAATTAGTATGCTATATTCTATGTTTATAGTGAAAATAGCAATTTTGTGATATGTTTGATACACAATATTAGATAGAAGCGGGCAGTATTAAGCCCTGTTTGACATCCATTAAATCAAAATTCTATTTTTCTTTTTTTTTTTTCAAAAGTTTCAGCCACACATTCACACATTAAAATATTTTGCACGTAAATCCAACATTTTTTTATTACTTTTTAACAACATTTTTCAAAAAATCACTCCCAAAAAAAGTAACTCTTTTTAATGGATGTCAAACAGGGATGTAAGAAAAAGACTTGTTCATTGTCTTGGGTAATTCTGCACACCAGTTTATTTGTTTTCATGAATCATAAGCTGCATTGATATGGCTAGAATTATTGAAATGTGTACCAGCTTCCGGTTTATTGGGAGATTTTTTTTTGGTTTCAAACTGTGAATTGGAGTAACAAATAATTGCTTGAGCTACTAAAATCCTGCCTAATGGAGATATCGTTGGAGAGGTGACAAAACCATATATTTCAATACCATCAAAAGGAATTTAGAACACTAGAAAAAGCAACACTGATAGTTGTTTAGAAAAACCATATCTAAGTACTGAGCTCAAAGTTCTACCATAATATATCTTTCTTTGATAGATGTTATTCAATAAATGAATTACCATGGAGGAGACCATTTGGCATCATGATACATGAATAGATTTGAATAATAAGTAATGTGTAAAATCTTGTATAGATATACTGAATTTATATGTATTTTAGACCCTTTATACTTGAATGAAAAATAATTCTGCTTTATCCCATCTTATCCACTACCATCTATGACAAAGATAGATTCACCAGCATAGCATTCACAAATACTTCACAATATCTTATAATTTTAATAAGATTATGTTTATAATATTAATTGATTATAATATGACTGAAAAAATCATTGTTAATGTTTTTCTTCATGGAAACTTCCCAAGAAATAGTATCCAATTATCAATGTCAGGACATTGGTTTGTTAAAACTTGAAGAGTTTGCAGGTTTCAATATATTACTATAGTAGTGTATAGTAGTGTGTTGGATATTGCCACTATCAACTAATCTTTATTACAAGCAAAAATGTGTTCACCAGATTACATAATTATATATGGGTTTGAATTAATTCAAAATCAATCAGGAGAATGCATTGCTAAATACAGTCAACTAGTTTTAACAGAGTTCCAAAAGTCTATATGCACGATTCAGAACTACAAGACTTAGCCTCCAATGCCAAAAGTTTCTGTTGGAGATGGACATAACATAACAATGTATTGTAAACTTTGAGCTACAGATTTGGACATATTGTTTTGTCTTTAATCCAAGTACCAAATGATTGAGCAGGTCATCAATGCAGAATCATTTAAATATTCAACCTTAGTAATGCATCTCTCCTAGTACCTTTTCTGTTAAACTGGTTTAATCTTCACTTTATCTAAAAACAAAATACCTTCTATCTAGATCCACTTGCATATCATCTTGTGAGAGGGGAAATCTAAGAGGGCCTACATCAATCACACACCCTACACCACCACCATGAGATTCTCCAAATTTTGCAACGAGGAAGTAAGTTCCATATGCACTACCAGAGGCTTGTATCTGAAAAAATGAAGGTCAAAATATTTTTAGTTGCAAATAAATGTTTCCTTATCAGCAACAAATATTCCACATCATAGTTCTTATTTAAGAGGCTTAAATTTCTTCTAGGAAACAAAATTTTTAGTGGCCTAGGAACAGAGGTATAGTCCTACCAAATTCGTTAAAACAATTATATTTCTTTGATTAAACTGTATTCCCCAGTCAAAATTAGATTTTCTTGTTTCTAATTGAATCAACATTTTCCTTTCTCAGTCAAACCTGAAACTTTACAAAAGTTTATCCCTCGCATCGATCTTTTTTTCCAAAAAAAAGGATAAAAGAATCCAGCATTTAAATAAAGAATCCAGAACATATTAAACAGTAAAAATGCGAAAAAATTCAAGAATTAAATAAACACACTCTTAGCACTTACTAAAAGAAACAAATGGACGAGGGACCTTCCTTCTTCACCTTCTTCTTCTGTTGATGGAAGGCGTCGAGTTGGGGAGGTAGCGAAATACTCACGGACAAGAGCGGAGAGTCGAAGATTGAGGGGGTGACTAGGGTTCTTGGGATGCTGAGCAGACCCTCTAGGGTTCTTGGGAGGCTTAGCAGAGAGTCGAAGATTGAGAGATTGAGAGGACGACTAGGTTTCTTGGGATGCTGAGCAGACCCTCTACGGTTCTTGGGAGGCTGAGCAGAGAGTCGAAGATGGAGGTTCTTGGGAGTTTTTGCTCTGTGAGGTGCTATCAGGCGAGTGTAATAAATTGAATTGGGGATTTTGGTTTGCAATTAAAATAAAGGCTTTTGCAACGATCAGAGAGGATGAACGTTGCAAAATTAAAATAAAGCCTTTTTGCAACGTTCAAGAATGTTGCAAAAAGGGAACATTTGGTGACGTTCACTTGAATGTTGCAAAAAGTTAAATTTTTGACAAAGTTCGATGAACATTGCAAAAGGTGGCATAGGCAACATTCATTTTTTGAACGTTGCTAAAACTCAATAAAATCAACCTACCGCAACATTCACTTATTAGAATGTTGCCGTATACTCTTTAGCAACATTCAATCAATGAATATTGCATTTTAAGTGTTACAAAAGGCCATTTTTGGTGTAGTGCCACCAGCATAATCCCAAAACTATAAACATTCGCCATAGTTGAATACTAATCCAGTTGATCCATACTCTACAAAATTGGGACGTGTGATCAAATTTGCTAGTAAATGTTAAATGATGGATAAATAAATAAGAACTAATAAGTAATACACGGTTACACTATTAGCTTGCACAACTCTATACACAAGTAGATGATAGGAACCATTTACCTGGAGCCATATATCCAATGGTACCCAACGTCTTGGTAATCAAAATTCTCGATTACACTATTAGCTTGGATAACTCTCTCATGCTCTTAATGTTGCCAATTTTTGGAGCCAGCAACCCATTCAGCAAATTTTATGCTAAGCTCAAAATCTGAATTTTCGTGTTTGTCCACAGTGTGGATGGGATAGTGGAAGTCAATGAGTTGTAAGCAAAATCAATAATTCGCAAAGATGTATTACTTCCTAAACAAGTTGGTAGCTATTGTGAAAGCTGATTTTTTGACAAATTAAGATAATATAGATTTACCATATTGCAAAGGTTGGCAGTTATACAGCCCCGTAGTTTATTGTTGTCAAGTCTCAACTTTTGCAATTTTCTTAATTGACCCAATGTGTCAGGAATTGTTCCTGTCAATTCATTGCCTTCAATTTCTAAATGGAACAAGTTCCTCGTATTACCAAATTCATTTGGAATGATACCTTTAATACCACAATAACTGGCAAGGATTTTTTCAATAGATGCTGACAAATTACCCAAGGATTTTGGTAATATTTCGCCAAAAAAATTGGATCCCATCCCTATGTACTTCAACTTACAACAATTTCTTAATGAAATAAGAAAATCCAATTCGAGCACTGAAAGACCATTTGTCAACTGATTAGAATCAAATCTTAGATTCTGTAGGTTCTGTAAATTCCCAAAATTTATGGTCACTCGTCCACTTAAGGAATTGTGACTAAAATCCAAGTGAGTAAGCTTAGAAAAATTTGAAACAAATGGAGGAATTTCTCCACTCAATTGATTGCCACCAAGATAGAGACCTTTGAGATTAGGGAGCCCATTGGCAATTGACGATAGAAGAGAGCCCGAGGTACTATTTTCAATAAAAGTAAGTGTTTGTAAAATAGAGAGATTGAAGATGGATTCAGGTATTTGACCCTGAAGACGGTTGCTAAAAATAGACAAGTACTTCAAATTCGATAAACTGCCAACTAAATGTGGAATTGCACCTGTATTGTGGTGTTTCTCAACATAATCAGATTAATGAATTCCAAAAGTACAAATAAGTAATAGATAGGTTACATGTCAAGATATTCGAATTCAAATAAAAATATTGAAGTGCTCATCAGCTTCAAGAGAATACTACTAGGATTTATGTTGTATTGGCAATAATGTAGACAAAATCAAGTCCTAGTTAAATAGCATTAGGATTTTATCGAGTTGTGATCAGTCAAAATAGGAGTTATTGAGTTCTAGTTAAAGTCAAAAGCATTTGGATTGGTAATATAGTCCTTGTATGAGTCCAAAATGTCCAAGAAGATCACATGTGATCAAGGGAATGCAATTAGAAGTCTAAAGATTGTCAAAGAGCTGCACAAGTTATGTTCCAAACTCTCAATCATAACTTGTAACACATTTTTCACATAGAAAACATTGTAATTTGGACAAGGCTGCTTATAAAAATTATAGCCATTTGAGTTAGCTTCCCAACGCATTAATCGCCTCAATTAAACACCAGGAGAGAAAGTTATGATGAAAAAATTGACAACTGTTCAACAGCGACGGTGTTACGTGTGCATTTTTCAAGAGTTTTATTCCTACTATAAATACCCAAGCCCTAACACATTGTGTGTGCTGGTTCATTATATTACTTTTTCATAACATCATTCCGAGATCCAAGAACACATTCAAGCATTGAGATTAATCCTTTGTTTTTGGAGATCATTCAATCACAATTTTGGAAAAAAAATCAATTTCAAATAATCCAAAACACCCACTTCCTATACACATAAAGGAAGATAATTTCTCAATAGCTTTGAGAGATTACTGAAGGTTGTGGGAGGTTGGACCAAAAACACATGAAAAGTACAAGAACAAGGTGTTCTTAGTGATCCATAGGAGAAAGACAATTCCACAAGATCGGGAATAGGTTTGAGTGAAGTATGTTTCAACGAGTCTTGAAGATTACAGGAATTAGATTAGGGAGTCTAGTATGTTTTCTAGATTGAATCATACTGTAAGTTCATATTATCTATAATAGAGATACTGACTTGGTCCCGAAGTTTTTACAAGTTGAGTTTTCTCTGTCAACATATTTTGTGTCGTTTATTGCTTTTATATTATTGATTGGCATTCAAACCATAGGATAATCCAACATGATTGATTAACCATCTAGAAACAATTAAAAAGTGATTTATTGCTTTTAATTGTATAATTATTCGCGTTAGGTCAAAATAAATTGGCTAAATCTAAACTTTCAAGTGGTATCAGAGCCCAAATTCGATTCATAATCTTAGTTTTTCTAGACCAGTAGTACATTATCTGTCCCGCCATATTTTGATGGCAATAACTACGCATATTCAAAAGTTAAAATTAGAGCCTTCCTAAAATCGATGGATGAGAGTATTTGGATAAAATAGTGAATGGTTGGACGCCCTTTCAAGTACTGTTAGTGATGTCATTACCTCCACTCGTATTGCTAATTGGTCGAAATATAATTTAGATGAGTGCAACTAGAATAGCAAAGCCCTACATGCTTTATTTATGGCGGTGTCCCCTAAAGAATTTAAGCGAGTATCTATGTATGAGGTTGCTAAAGAGGTTTAGGATATTTTACAGACCATACATGCGGGAACTCAAGTAGTTAAGAACTCCAAGTTGCAGATGTTGAGCACTAGATTTGAAGAGATTAGGATGAGACATTTGATGACTTCTATGCAAGTTTGAATGGCATAGTTAATTTTAGTTTCAACCTAGGTGAGAGAATTCCTAAGTCTAAGATTGTCAAAAAAAATTCTTAGATCCTTACCTGAGAGATTTAGGTCTAAAATCGCGGCTATAGATAAGAGTAAGGACGTAGATGCTATTAAGATTGAAGAGTTGGTTGGATCTCTCTAGACTTATGAACTAACATTAGTTAAACTTATAAAAGATAAGTCTTTGGCCTTGAACACTGTTAGGGATAACCGTAATGAGTCTTCTGATTTGGAGTCCCCTAATAATGAGGAGGTAGCTTATTGTGCTAAAAAATTTCAAAAAAATGTTTAGAAATAAGAAGGAGCCTCTAGAGAGACATAGAGGTGCTCCCAGTGAGTTTAGAAAGAGATCTCAATTTGTGAGTTGCCTTAAGTGTCAAGTTTTGGCCATTATAGAAGTGAGTGCCCTAACAGTAAGAGAAATAAGGATAAAGCTATAAATTTTTCTCTCACTGATGACTAATCTCAGTGAGAATGGGAAATATATGGCCTTCGCTGCTAGGATTATGAGTGAATCTGATAAGGAGGTTGAGAAGATTGAGGATGTAGATAGTGGTGAGCAATCTGAGGAGGATTCTGAAGATGAGGAAGACATACATGAGGCTATGATAAAATTATATAAGCTGAGGATTATGATAGGATATTAACTACCAATAACAAGTTATGTACGAAGGTCAAAGATCTTGAGCTAGAGAAAGAAAAACTAATAGATGACCTTCAAGAATCTACCTTATCCCTGAGTAAGTTGAACTCTGTGAATGAGCCCTTAGATATTCAGGTTAAGAATCTTATGAGTGATCTTAAGGAGTCCTCTGGGAGATTTATTGAGTTGAGGGTTGTGAATGAGACTTTAAAAAAATGGCTAAGACCATTATGAGCGATCTTGAGGATTCCAACACCTAACTCCTTGCATTCTCTAGTGGTTCTTTGAAGCTTGATAGCATCTTAAGAATGAGCAAGCCTACTGGTAATAAAGGGAGGTCTAGGATATAAAGAGAATGATCACAATGCTGCTAGGACTTCCAAGACCATTTTTGTCCCTGCCACTGACCAGCTTAAATACTTTCCTAAGAATAGACATCAATGACCACATAACCTTGGTGATGTGATCCAAGAGCCAAGTCCAACGAAGGCGAGTGCGGAACGAGACCCGTTGATAATCAAGGACGAACCGATAACGCGATTGAGGGAAAAGCAAGTGAAACAAGCGATGGAATTGGTCCTTCAAGAAACCATTGATGGGATGATATTCAGGACGCAGAATGGGACAACTTTTATGTTCAGGTCAAGAGCTGAATCAAAGTGGATCAATTCAATACAAGCAGACGAAGACAGAGGCCAAAGGAACAACCATGCGCCGCATGGTTATAAAGTACTGCGGCCGCACGCACCTAGATAGGGAAGAATTGGGCGTGGAAGATTTCTTCCATGCGTCCGCATGGTATAAAAGTTCGGCAGAATTTTTCTTTTTCCTCGATTTTTAGCTTTAGTATAAATGCTCTTTCCATTACATTATATTAGAACTTTTGGCAGAATTCAAGAGAGGTTTTTCCTTTCTTCCAATTTGTTCTTCTTTGAACAATAATTTAGAGCTTATCAAGGATAATTTCTTGTGGCGTTCTACACCAGATCGTGGGTTCTTCCATTTGTAAGCAAGGGGTCCATTGCATTACCGTTATCTTTGGGTTCTTTGTTTCATCTTGTTGGGTTCATTCCAAACTAGTTATCAATTGACGTTCTTGGGTTTCGCATCAGTCAAGTCATGGGTTTCGTAGTCTAAATTGCTATGGGGTTCGCATTAGTTGGTATCATAGCTTTGGTCCCAATTTAATCAGGTTCTATCTTTTAATTTTCTTATTTGGGTCGTAGTTTTATTTAATTTCCAATTTCCTTCCTTGTTCTTGAGTCGTTCTTCAATTCATTCCTTCAATCCATATTTTTCATTGGTAGTATAATCTCTTGTGTAAGTTAAAAAAAAAGTTGTTGTTCATGTTAAAAAAAATTTATTTTTTAATTATTTACTTGATTTGTTACTAACAATTTCATATTCAATTCCTAAATTCCAAAGTTTTTTTCAATTCTTCAATTTCGTCAATTGTTCCGTTGGAATTTTATTGAGTCCATTAAAATTTCATTCCATTTGTTTTCAATCCCTTGAAAATTATTCTCTTGACTTACGTTTCGAGTTGAATCTGTAAGTTTTTATTCGGTGAGTTCATTATTGTTCTTGGAAGCACTTGGTGAAAGCATTGAGTGGTAAAAAATAGAGTGGTGAGCTTATTAGAGGGTAAAATCCAATTGCGAGACTCCGAGTGAAATTTGGTGAGGCAGAAAATTGAGAGAATGTTTGAATAAGAGGGTTCCAACTCAAGCCGACATGGCCATCACAATAGTGCATTGGAGGATTCGATATAGCGGTTTGAGCTTGCTTTTGGGGTTGTTAGAAATAGGCTGGATCAACAGGATGCTTGGAGGGCTAAGCAGGAAGCTTAGATGACAAGGATGGATACATCGGCGGCTAGTCTTAATAGGGAGCCGCGGGTTGAGATATCTAATACCAGGAGGTTGGGTAGGTGGGAGCATAGGATGGAACGGGAAGCATTTGATCTAGACGATGAATGGGATGATGATGAGTATGGAGAAGTAGGAATGGGATGGATGAGGAATAGAGGTTGTAGGCCTGAATGACGGGTTAGGAATAATCACTGAGATGAGGTGGATGGGAACATACGTAATATCAAAATGTCCATTCTACAATTTAAGGGGGGGAGTGACCGGAGGCGTACTTTGAGTGGAAAGGAAGGTGAAATTAATTTTTGAGTGCTATAATTATTCGGAGGAGAAGAAGGTGAAGCTAGTGGTGTTAGAGTTCATTGATTACGCAATAACTTGGTGGGATCAAGTGGTTACTACACAGGGATAGTATAGGGGAAGATCAATTAGTACTTGGGAGGACTTGAAAGAGTTGATAAGGAAGTGGTTCATTCCTAACCAGTACTATAGGAAGATCCATCAGAAGTTGTAGAGCCTGTATCAAGGGTCGAGGAGCGTAGAGGACTATCACAAGGAAATGGAAATACTCATGATCAGGGTAAATGTGGTGGAGGATCCAGAAGCTATCATGGCACAGTTCTTAAACGGTCTAAATCGGGAAATTGCTAATATAGCGAAATTGCAGCATTACGCGGAGCTGGATGACATGTTGTATGTAGCCATGAAGGTGAAAAAACAACTGAAGAGGAAGAAGACTGCAAGACAGCCGGTGAATACTTCATCTTCTAACCTAAATTGGAAGTCGAAATGGGATGGCAATAATAAGGGGAGTGAAGCAGTAACTAAAGGAAGAAGTGAGTGGCAGGAGGGGAAAGAAGAAAGTGCTAGCAGGACAGCACCAAAATCGGAGTCACAACTATCATGGAGCCGGGACATCAAGTGTTTCAGGTGTTTAGGGTTGAGACACATTGCATCTAAGTGTCCTAACAAATGAACCCTGGTGTTCGGGACAATGGAGAGGTGGTAAGTGAAAGCAAAGGAGAGTATGATGAGATGCCAACGTTGGTAGATATTGGTGGTGAAGATGAGACGAAATTTGCCGTTGGGGAGCTGCTGGTCTCGAGGCAAGCACTTAACACTCAAATTAAGACGGGTGATTTGGAGCAGCAGCGGGAGAACATATTTTACACTCGATGCCATATCTACGATCAGGTATGTAGCTTGATTATTGATGGTGGGAGTTGCACAAATGTGGCTAGCACAACTTTAGTCAAGAAATTGAGTCTAGCATTATTGAGACACCCTAGACCCTATAAATTACAGTGGTTGAATGAGAGTGGGAAAGCTAGGGTCAATAAATGGGTGTTAATTAATTTCTCGGTTGGGAGGTATAGTGACAAGTTTGTATGTGATATGGTGCCTATGAAGTGGGTCATATTCTATTAGGGAGAACTTGGCACACATGATGGGTATAGGAACAAGCATAGCTTTGTCAAGGATGGGAGGTTCATTACTCTTGCGCCATTAACACTGGCTCATGTGTATGAAGATAAAGTAAAACTGAAAAATGAGGAAGAAAGGCAAGCGAGAGAATTTACAAAAAGGAGAGAAGATAGTGAGCCTATGAGTAAGAGAGAAAATAATGAGATGGCCGAGAGAGGGGAAAGGAGAGAGAGGCCACATGAGAGGAGAGAAAAAGAGTCAGTGGATCGGAGAGAAAAACCAAAAGTGAACTTCTTTGCGAGGGGAAGTGAATTGAAAAAGGCTTTGAGTGATAAAAGACAAGTGTTGTTGTTGGTGTACAAGGAGTCCTTCCTCAACCTTAAGGAGTCTAACACACCCCTCCCTAGCTTGGTTAAATCTTTGTTGTAAGATTTCAAAGACGTGTTTTTGGAGGAGGTGCCAAGTTGATTGCCACAGTTCGAGGGATCGAGCACCAAATCGACTTCATACCCGGAGCTGTTATTCCAAACCAACCAGCTTACCGAAGCAATCCCAAGGAGAGGAATGAGCTTCAGAGACAAGTGGAGGAGTTGATGAGCAAAGGTTATGTGAGGGAGAGCATGAGCCTTTGTGTTGTGCCTATTCTATTGGTGTCGAAGAAGGATGGGACTTAGCGAATGTGCGTGGACTATAGAGCTATCAACAACATTACGGTAAAGTATCGTCACCCTATACGTAGGCTAGATGATATGCTAGATGAATTGCATCGTGCTTGTATTTTTAGTAAAATTGATCTTAAGAGCGGGTACCAACAAATTTACATGCAGGAGGGTGATGAATGGAAAATGGCATTTAAAACTAAATATGGGTTATATGAGTGGTTGGTTATGCTGTTTTGTCTCACAAATGCACCGAGCACATTTTTACGTTTAATGAATCATGTTTTGCGTCCTTTAATAGGGAAATTTATTGTAGTTTATTTTGATGACATTTTAATCTATAGCAAAGACCTAGGTAAGCATTTAGAACATTTAAAGTATGTGCTTGTTGTGTAAAGAAATGAACAACTGTATGCTAATTTTAAAAAGTGTATGTTTTGCATGGACATGGTTATTTTTCTAGGATTTGTGGTTACTGCTAATGGGGTAGAAGTGGATGAGGAAAAGATTAAAGCTATTAAAGAATGGCCAACACCTAAAAGTATAATTGAGGTTAGGAGCTTCCATGGTCTGGCTAGTTTTTATAGGCGGTTTGTGAGATACTTTAGCACAATCACTACACCATTAACAGAAATCGTTAAGAAAAGTGTAGGTTTCCACTAGGGGGGAAGCACAAGAACATGCACTTAACACCATTAAGGATAAATTGTGTAAAGCCCCTGTTTTGGCATTACCTAACTTTGATAAAACGTTCGAGATTGAGTGTGATGTATCAGGGATATGTATTAGAGTAGTGTTAATGTAGGAAAGGAGACCTATTTCTTACTTTAGCGAGAAGTTGAGCAGAGCTGCACTGAACTATCCCACTTATGACAAGGAGCTGTATTCTCTTGTTCGAGCATTGGAGACTTAGCAGCATTACTTGTGGTCTAAGGAATTTGTTACACACACCGATCATGGTCCCTAAAGTACTTGCGGGGTCAATGGAGACATTTCCATACATCATCAAGTATAAGCAAGCTAATGAAAATGTAGTTACAAATGCATTGTCATGAAGGTACATGCTTCTTAACTCTTTAAGTGCGAAATTACTTGGTTTTGAGCATATTAAGAGTATGTATGAAAATGACATTGATTTCTCAAACATTTATAATTTATGTTCTAAAATGGCAGTTAATAAATTTTATAGACACGAAGGATATTTGTTTAGGGAAGATAAGGCATTCCAAATTGTTCAATGCGTGAATTATCGATAAGAGAAGAACACAGTGGGGGTCTAATGGGTCATTTTAGGATTCAAAAGATTTTAGACATATTAGGGGAACATTTTTATTGGCCTAAAATGAGTAGTGATGTAAAACGGATTTGTGAGAAGTGCATAACTTGTAAACGGGCTAAATTAAAAGTTTTACCCCATGACTTATATACACCTTTACCTGTACCTAGTAAACCTTGGGTGGATATTTCTATGAATTTTGTGTTGGTGTTATCTAGGATAAAGAAAGGTCGGGATTCTATCTTTCTAGTGGTTGATAGGTTTAGTAAAATAGCACACTTCATACAATGTCACAAAACCGATGATGCCACTAACATTGCTGATTTATTTTTTAGGGAGATAGTACGTTTGTATGGAGTCCCTAAGAACATTGTTCGGACCAAGATGTAAAATTTTTGAGTCATTTTTGGTGTGTTTTGTGGAATAAGTTAGGAGCTAAATTGTTATTTTCTACAACTTGTCACCCAAACTTAAGTAGTAAATAGGACCATGACTCAATTGCTTCGAATAGTGATTAATAAGAACTTAAGAAATTGGGAAGATTGCTTGCCATTTATTGAGTTTGCTTATAATCATGTTGTACATTCGACTACTTCTTATTCACCTTTTGAAATTGTGTATGGATTTAACCCACTAACTACATTGGATTTATTTCCTTTGCCTATGAATGAATGAGGTAGCATGGATGGTAAGAGGAAAGCTGAGATGGTAAAGGCACTTCATGAGAAGGTCCGTATGCAAATTGAAGAGAAGAGCAAGCTCATCACATCTAAGGCAAACAAAGGGCGGAAGCATGTGACATTTAAACCTGGAGATTGGGTATGGGTGCATTCAGGAAGGAACATTTTTCGGAGCAGCGAAAATCCAAATTGCAACCGCGGGGAGATGATCCTTCCCAAATCACCGAGAAGATCAATGATAATGCCTACAAAGTGGACTTGCCCGATGAGTATAATGTTTCAGCAACTTTTAATATATCTGATCTCTCTCTCTCTTTGATGCAGGTGTAGATTCAAGGACGGATTCTTTTTGAAGAGGGAGGGGATGATGTGATCTAAGGGCCGAGTCCGACAAAGTCGAGTGCGGAACGAGACCCGTTGATAATCATGAGCAGACCGATGATGCGATCGAGGGCAAAGCAAGTAAAACAAGTGATGGGATTGCTCGTTCAAGAAACCATTGATGGGACAATGTTCAGGACGCAGAATGGGACAACTTTCATGTTCAGGTCGAGAGCCGAATCAAAGTGGATCAATTCAATACAAGCGGACGAAGACAGAGGCCTAAGGAACAACTATGCAGCCGCATGGTTATAAAGTGTTGTAGCCGCACGTACCCAAGCAGGGAAGAATTGGGCGTGGAAGATTTCATCCATGCGACCGCATGGAAATGTACCATGTGACCGCATGGTATAAAAGTTCGACAGAATTTTCCTTTTTTCGCGAATTTCCTTATTTTGTTACAATTTGATATCAATTAGACTTATTTCCATATTTCGATGATTTTGCACGATTTTAGCTACGTTTTTAGCTTTAGTATAAATACTCTATCCATTACATTGTATTAGAACTTTTGACAATTATTATTGAATTCAAGAGAGGCTTTTGCTTTCTTCCAATTTATTCTTCTTTGAACAATAATTTAGAACTTATCAAGGATAATTCCTTAGGCGTTCAACATCGGATCGTGGGTATATAAAAAATACTTGAAAGAAAAGCTCAATATTCTATGCTCTTCTTCGGAGCCTATGACTCGAGCAACTAAGCCTGAGGGGTTTTTCATAACCTATACCTGTGATCAACTGACTTGGAGAAGAGACCACACATAAGATGTGAAAATTTGATGAGATAAATGATGAGCTTAAAAATTCAGAAAATGTGTTAATATATATATATATATATATATATATATATATATATATATTTATAGGTTCTAATGTGCTATTATTGGTTTGACTTTTATAAGTAGAGGGATCAAATTAATGACAAAGATGTTTAGCATATCTTTTCTCACAAAATTAAGGTTTGAAGTCCTATTTACAAATGATTAGTGACACTTTACACACATGGATCACTTATACAATTTACTCTATTTTAACTTGAACTGAGTATGTGGAAAAGTCTATTGATCATTAATTATGCTCGTGCATGCTATCAACTACATATTTGAGTTATTATATATTACTGTTTATGCTAGTCATTTATGACAAAAAGGGGAAGAGAGATTTGATTGTAATTTTGAGTTGAGAGTTAGCTGCATTTTAGGGAGAGTTTGCAGTAAAGGAGAGAGATGATAGTAACTTTCATTCATGGTATTCCATATCATAATGCCTAGCTTCTTTGAGTTTTATATTTGGTGATATTAATATTTCAATTGGTGTTTTGATTAACATTAGTATTACTTCTTAATCTAGCTAGTATATTTATGATAGTAGGTTTCAATTGTTATATTTTCTGTATCGATCACGTGTTTTTACACTGGATATGTCAGTTGTTAATTTCAGAAAACATGTTGACAAGGAATGCAAAAGACAGACATTTATTTTAGGTTTGGGTAGATTAGTTTTGTTTTTACTTCCCTGACTTGTATTGTATAGTTTTGTCACAGAATGACAAAGGTGAAGATTGTTAGGATTTATGTTGTATTGGCAATTCTATAAACAAAATCAAGTCCTAGTTAAATTGTATTATGAGTTTATCGAGTTGTGATCAAAGTCAAAATAGGAGTTACAGAGTCCTAATTAAAGTTAAAAGAGTTGGAATTGCTAGTATAATCCTTGAAGGAGTCCAAAATGTCTAAGGGGGTGTATTCAATTGAGACTTTGAAAACTTTGATGGACTTTTTTTAAATAATGACTTCTGTGGATTTTGTGGATCTTTTAAAGATTTGTAGGAATTAGTGAGAGTCTTTCGTAGGCTTCTATGAATTTTCATTCTAAAATTTTCATAGACTTTTGAAGACTTTCATTTGAAATAAAATTCACATAGATCTAGTGTGAAATTTTCACATACGAGATGTTAGTTCCCATAATTCCTCTTTTCCTTCCCCTTGTTCTTTCCGTATAATAAAAAAAATTTGAAAAAATAAAAATTGAAGACCTTAATTAAATAAATAATAATCAAAATTACACACACACACACACACACATATATATATATCAGTATAGTATTCAATAATATCAGTATAGTATACATTTAAAAATAAATAAAAATTAATATATTTAAATTTAATTTTTAATTTTTATAATTTAATAAAAAAAGATATTTTTCACAAAAAAATGAATGAAAAAGGAAAAAAGTTATAAGAATCCAATTTATTTTTTCATAAAAAATAGAAATAAATAATAAGAGAGAGAAAGAAAAATAAATGGAATATAATCAATAAAAAATAAATTTTAGTTACATATGTCCATAGAAGGTCAAAGGAAAGAAAGATTGAAAAGAAAAAAAGATTTTTTTTTTTTTAAGCCTCCCTAAATCTCGTGATTAAAGAGAGACAAATTTTAAAGATATTATTTGAGTACTTTCTGCTTAAAAGTTAGTACTCCAGAGATTTTTATAAAAGTCATTAAAATTTAAATACCCCAAAACTTATAGAAACTTCTAAAAAGTTTTAATTGAATACACCGTAACTTTTAGAGACTTTTAAAAAGTCTATAAAAGTCTTAATTGAATACACCATGACTTTTAGAGAATCTTAAAAGGTCTCAATTGAATATCTCTAAACTTTTTAAATCCCA